AATTACCTTCACTTTAATCACGATACCCTATGCATAATAATATCGGGTAACGCATCCTACAATCACGCATTTAATTCCACCTCAAAGTAGTTCTAAAATCTGTATGATGTTGTGTGAGAAGAAGTTAGCCCAGACCCGCAACTCCTTTCGGTTTTGCTGGATACAAACGCTATGACTCACGCTTTGAGCACGGGAAGTGGTAAATAAATTATCTCCATGGCGGCCTGATAGATATGGTTTATCTTCAAAAGTCTCCATCAAATCTTCCATCACTATTCTACGTTTCTGAAAAAGACGTTAGAATCCCTTATTCACAGCTCATGGCTATTGTCTCTGCTAATCTAACATTAATATGGCAAGAGGTTGTACTTTATCCAAACATGACCTCTATTGTTTTAATTGCAGCTGAGCATGGCGTGTACCAAATTACCATCAAAATCATAGTTAGGGAAAAGTGACCACTGCCTTGTCACTTCTGAACTCATTCTTCGCCGATTGTACACTATGCGTGAGGAGCAGACTGGATTTCGCGCCGGTTGTGGATGCATCAATCAAATTCTCACAATCAGACAGCTACTAGAGCACGATCCTGCCTATCAAACACCAACGATCACTGTATTCTTAAATATCCGCGCGGCCTTCGACTCTGTCGATAGGACCACACTATGGAACTGTTTGTTAAGGAATGGAGTAACAGAGAGGTATATGTCGATCCTCAGAGTTGTATTTTTGTACCTCAGGTCAAGTTAGGGTCTATGGCCAGCTTTCGCCACCCCCAGCCTTCTACGGTGGAGATCGACAAGGTTTCTGTTTATCCCTATTTCTTTTCAACTTTGTCATAGAAGATGTTCTACAGAATTCTTCGTCCGGTCTGGCTGACAATACATAAGCTATCCACAACGCTTTGAACCGCTTGTCGATAGAGGTATCCAGGTCTTGTACGTACTTTACCCCTTCCAAGTGCAAATTTCTTGCTCAAGGCTGGCAGGAGCCTGTTCCTGCACTCACCATCCGTGGTGATCAGCTAGAAGTATTTCAGCTTCAATTACCTCAGAAGCTTAATAACAGTTGGTATTGGTGTTGAGGAAATCACATCACGAATAGCGAAATCGGGAGCAGCTTTTGCCAATCTGCGACAGCTGTGACGCCGCCATGACATCCGACTGCTCTTAAGGGAAGGGTATACGCCGCCGTGGTTCGTAGCGTTCTGCTTTACGGTTGCGAGACCTGGATCCTCCGCGTTGAGGATGCTAATTGACTTTCTGTATTCGACCACCGATATCTCCGAGGCATTGCTCGTGCTTGGTGGGAACATCGTGTGAGCAATGACGAGATTTATCCTTGTGTTCGGTGTGGATAGTCGCTCTCTAGCAGGAGTGATCGCTCTGCAACGCCTCAGATGAATTGGTCACGTTTTGCGTATGCTTACCCATTCACTACCTTTCCGTGTTTTCTTTGCATGTGCCGAGTAAGGCTGTAAGAAGCACCGTGGCAGTCAGACCATGACACGGCGTAGAGGCATGAAGTAGCTGACCTCAGCTTTGGCTTTGGTTATTACAAGTCGCCTTCCATATTGGAGCTCAAGGGATGAGGATTGTCGTTGGTTAGAGACACTAAGAGATATGGTCCAAATGATTTACATTCTGCCTGTTGAAATCCCGTGCCCGAAGAAAAACCTTACAAAAAACATCAGAAAGTGAGCGATGAAACACAATGAAATATGTTCTAGTCCATTTTCTATCATTGTTTATTTTAACTGTGTGAAACACACAAAAAGCTTTTATTATTTCAGTTATCTAACATTTACCCTTTTAACTGTTTTAACTGTAATAATAACAATCCCTACTTTCCCCTTTGTCCTGTATCCCAATTCACCGCTATTCTATTTTTGTTATTATTGTTTTGGCGTGTGTACCATGGCCAGTGTTATATATATCTTCAACATCAGTTTTCTCCCCATTTTCTGAACTTTTCTGGATTTCATTTTATAGTTCATCTTTTATGTTCATGGCATGTGATGCATGCTTGCGATTTCACCAATGTATCTTCTGGGGGAAGAAAATCAGTCCTCGTAGTTTGTTCTATTGCCGATTGACTGCCATTGGCTTCATCAAATGCGTTCCGGATCGGAATTTTGGCCCCCTGATAGAAATTATCATCCTCCCTAAACAACCAGTAAACTTCAAACGTGTTGCATGGGATTCTTAATTCATGTTTACTGGAGTTTTCTCTACTAAATATGCTTACTCTACAAGTCCTCCAAACTATTATGTCCGTTTAAACTGCAAACCTAAAGTAGATAACTTTCTATATCATAGCGCTTTGGTGAATGAGTAGACTCAAGACTTTATAGGTAATAATTTTGAAACCGGTGGGTACCTAGTATCGAAAAAATTGAAAACCCTGAGACTTTATTTAGTCACTGATGGACAAAAACAGTTCTGACCGTTTATAAGGATCATTCTTTGCACATCTTTGCCGTCCAAAACTTAGTTCAACCAAAACGTAATTTCAGTGATCACTTTTATAGTAGCTCACCGTTTCACCTAATTTACTTAAACAAAATTTATCTCACTAAAGCTAATTTGACCGATACAATAGTGGAATGCGATATCACATTGGACTGACCTGTCGGGTTTTATAATATGAAGAAATAATTCCCCGGAATATTTGAACGTATTTAATGCTTGAGCGACGCAAACCAAACTACCATTCCGTTACTAGCGATCTCCATCAGTTGTTAACAGGCACAATAAAAGTGGAAGTGATTGCGCATATCTTGACGCAGTAGCACGAAATCGTTCATTCACTGAGATGTTAACTGCATTATGCAGAAAACACGGCGTTTTCCATCCTTGCAAAACCAATTATAGGTCAGTGAAACAATTCTTGTTATTTTCTTTTAAATGCAGATTGAAAAACTATCTTCATATCTCAGAGGTGCACTTTAGTTATGTGGTTAAAGTTTCTTGTTTACAGGTTTCTTCGAAAAATTAGCTTGCACTTTGCGTTTGTCTTGAATTTTGAATGCAGCTCGTAGCTATAAAAATGATTCTTCGTGGAAAATTAATATTAAAAATGTCATCCTACGAGTTATATTTCAAAAAATCAAGTTCTATGTAGATGTAGTTTGCAGAAACAATCGATTGTGCGATGACGTATCATCGTCAACACCAGGGTTACTGTCTCAATCAGATCATCTTGGATATTCGTTGGCAATTTTACAAAAATGAATTCAAACATCAAGCCTCAAATAAAAGATTTCTTACTGCTTTACCAATAAAATACATAAGTTTTAGTGATTTTATGGAAAAATGACGTAGAACACAACTTTTGAAGGCTCTTTACTTCGTGCATTTTAAACTTGTTTTGTTATTTCACGGTAGTGTTCATTTATTCGACGCTTATTGCACGGCCACAGACATCATGGATAAACGTTTAGATTGAATACTAAACATTATTTATCGCAGCTAGCTTTAACAAAATAAACAACTTTATTTTGACGAAAGTGATAGAAAAATTGGTCTGCAGTTAATCAAAAGTTACGAGTGAATTTCTATTGTATGATATTTACCAGAGTTTTTAATTCGTTTTCACAAAATTGCTTATGATAGGAACTTTTCGTCAAATTGGCTCTTGCCACTCCGTTATACGGACTCCTCCCTAATTGACCAATTCCTTCCAATGTTTGGACTTTTGAGCAAAAGTGCAAGGTTAACGATTGCCTATCAGACAATTGTGCACAATCCGTTGAGTTTATTAATCAAATGATCTTTGGACCGAGCCAACCCTGCAGCCTCGCTCATCCTTCTTTCTCGTGAATGGGCCGGGTTTTGAGGATAATGTATCGCAGAGGGTGACGGTTACTGGGCTTGTAATGCGATCGTAACTCACTGGCTCTTGGTCGCATGTTCGCCCATGTAGGTGGGTCTTGGTTAAAGTTGATTTCCTCGGTTGACAAAGAGGATCCAAAAGGGTCAACGTGTAACTAACTCATCACCGAAAAGCTGTATCTTTCAAGCAAGGAATTGCGAACTAAAGACTTCCACCGAATCCAGTGGTATTCGATGCTGCGCACGGCAGATAGTTTCTCTAAGGAACTAATCACTTGGGCTATCCTAGCTGGTTCTCATCAATCAGTGGCATGATATAAGTTGAATTGCCCATCCACACCGTATGGTGGACGATGTATTGATACACGAACTAGTCACGACAGTAGCGTGCATCGCAAGCCCAAACAAACACTCTACTCAAGCATCGTGTAAATGTCTTTAAATTCAAATCAATGAACTTTCAAAATGTTTCAGTGGTGATGATTTTCATACATTCATGAGTAATTGAAATTCAAAGCTTCCTTCCTAGTGAGCGTTTACATTATTCGTTCCTTCTCAAAATTCCTTGATCAGAGTTACCAACGATTTCTGACCCGAAACATTAAACATCAAACAGTGAAATATTTGTTACCTTGTTACTTAATATTTCATCAAATCTAATTTGTTTTGCTTCAGAAAATAATTTTACAAGATATGAATAAATATAGTTCACTGTACTTACCGTTACTAACGCTTTTAAGATGTATGTATACAATGTGTTAACTTATATGGTTTTTGTTTACGAAAATGACCTGGGTTCACTTACAACTAATCGTGGTATTTGATTTTCTCGATGACAGCCAACCACCAGTCTGTTTAATATACTGCTTAGTGAAATTATTGAATAAAATACCTATTAAGAAGTTTGACTCAATTACGACTAACTGTTTACTGACTTAGCAGAGAATTATCTGTGCTTGATAAAACCGTGTTCTTTCTTTTTTCAGATAAATTGTTTTCGTTTAGAGTGATTCGGTAATTATTTGACCACATTAATCTACCGCTTCGTTCTAAAAGCGCCACTACTGTCCTCCCCGGTAACATTGGCAGCTATACGTGAAAAATTGAAAGTACACGAACAGAGTAGTTCACAAAACGGCCATTACATAAAATAAAGCTTGAGAAATCATGTATCGATCTCGTATGCCTTATACTCGATGGCATGCCAAAGAGGACCTTCTGAAGGAACGAATGAAAGAGGCAATGTCTCCGCGTTACTATCGCATTCGTAGTGACCTGACAAGCTCAGACGAATCATTGGCTACCGAAGGAGACAAACCGTCAGATTTTTGTGATGGAATAAATGAGAGCACGGTGAAAGTGTCTGCCGAAGATCGTTTGGATATAGGACCCTATAAGCGAGATCCAATCAAACCCATTCGTCAGCAACGAAAAGAATGTCAGAGTGCAAACACTTTGCGTGGTTTCGGATCACAAAGTGAACGTTTTCGTGCAAGCAAACAAATGTATGTAAGTTTGATCATGTACGGCTTGAATATTGATTCAGTATTTGAGAATAATCAATATATATACATTTGTGATAAGCCACCTTGAGTTTAGAGTAGTCTCAGATAAGTTCATCATAAGGTTCAACATAAGTTTAACCTCAGTTTTCCTTCTATCTGATCCTACTGAACGACTGAATTCTGAAATTTAAACATCCTTATAAAAGTGAATTTTCCGCAATGGATTAACCTTCTGGGTTAAAATATTTCGTAAACTTTTATTGCTGCATAGTTAACACCTGTAATTTTCCAGCTTTCTTTCTGTGTTGAGGTTACAGCTTCGTTGTATGAAACTTGGGTTTTAAATAATTTTATTCCAAGATCATATTGCTTCAACGGTTGTTCTTGTTTCACCACTGCTTTTTGATTTCTTTCTTAGTTATTTTGTTTATAGCAAACGTTTAAGTGTCTACCTTCTCTTGTTCAAGATGTATTGTGTGGTTGTATGTATAATAGAATTACTCTAAGCATTGTATTGATTTATATTTTTATTATTTTTGTATCCTCGATGATAAAGATACCACTGCTTTGGTAAAGCAGTGAATAAATATGAGGTTAGGTTGAACGCATTCNTGATCTATATTTATTTTGTATTGTCCCATCCTAGATGGTCTTTCATTTTGGACATAGGACTTTGTGGTTGCATTTTAATTTTTGTTGTGTGAGGAGCAAACGAAGAGTGAACTAAAACAATTTTTCTACGGTTTTAACTTTAATGGGTCTCATCAGCAATGAGAATATATGGATCTAAGTTAGGACCATATACCCGTAACCTCAAGAATAGAACGCACTCTTCCAACGAAGTATCACAGCCCATATTTGGAAGATAGTAATTAGAGGGAGTTTTCCGATCGGATGACAGTCGCCAACGCTTATAGTAAAATGGGCGATTTTCAGTGCTAGCAACAGATTTCCAGTAAGGCGAGATGAGGCGAGTAAGTCGCTCTGAACCTCATGGTTTTGGCACATTGCATCCAATCCGCGTTTGGCGGTAATGGGTGTTGTGTCGCACAGAATGATGCACACATTGACCCTTTTGTGTATGTTATTTTATTATTTCCTTGTTTTTGCTGAGATGCAGTTACTATTCAGCTTCGTAAAGTTATTGCAACAACCAGTATGCAAGGTAGTTAACATCAACATGTAGTTGGGTTTGATTGTGACCTTATTCTAAGGTTTAAAATACATTACTACCATACTACTTGCAGGTTAGTTGAGAAATTTCTGATTACGACTCTAGTTTTATGGGGTAATTGTAACGCACAGTTTGAAAATGAAGAATTATTACAGTGAACCAACTCTACCATACTTATCTTGGGTTCGCACTGCGTTAACTGCCACGATTAGAGATGTGCGAAACTGAACTTGCGTGCGCAATTCATCTATCTCAGTTTCATCTTAATTTCTCGCTATTGGGATAGATTATTCCATGTGTTACATATTTTCACTAAGAGTATTTCTCTTACTCAACTGTATTCGTTTCTGTCAAACCTAAACAGCAACCAAAAACTATGTCATTTCCCGCTAACTTTGCTCCATAGGGCAGAAAGGCTGGGCAGAGTTCATCTACTGCTTTTTCTCAGAGTAAACATAAGGCGCTAGTGGAAAAGTTTATAAGACCGATAGTAATTTAGGGAAAGTAACTCCTCATGATCTCACAGCTTACATGGATTCAAGTCAGTATGATTATAAGACTAACGATCTCATTGAATAATAATTGTTGCTTCTAATCATTTGCTTCATATTTAATCTACCTAAATGATGTACCTATGTTAAGGTGTTGTTCTTAGCTTTTAACCCTTTTCGTTTATTTCTTACTCATCGGTTGAATAACAAATGAACCAGAAAGAAGCAACAGAAATCGATGTATAAAGTCTAAAGGCTAATTGTCGTCTAATCGAAAAAAAAAGAATTTGCGGTTTATGGTAATGCACCACGAGGTTTTGTTGTTGGTGTGTTCTCTGAGCTGGAAGTGCTGTTCGTATGCGAACAAGAACAACATCTACATCCTGAGCTACAATCGTTCCACATTATTTCCACCACGAGGTTTATTTCATTACTAAGTCGTATATTGACAATAAAGAATAATCAATTTATTTATGCCCAACCTGGCGCATACTCCCAGTGAAAGTGATTCATTAAAAGCTTCAGCGGTGAACCTTTTCATTGGAGCTGAATAGGTCATTCGAGTAGTTTTTAAACTATGGGAAACGGCGGGAGTTACTTGAATGTCTAGGGTCACATGTAAATCATATATAATTACAATGTTTTTGTATTTTCTTTTCTTTGAGAGATTCCTCCTCCGGGGACGTACAACCCACAGACTAACAGAAAACTTGGCGCCCCGAAGTCTACATCGCGGGAGGAAGAGCCATTTACGAAAGCACCTCCAGCGAACCGAATTGTTGCACAACCGGTAGGAATAATCAATTTTAATTTGCTCTATGCCGTACAATTTGTGCAAATTTTCAGATAACTTAAATAAAGATAATTTTTCCGTGTGCAGTTTTATTTCTCACTGGAAGCTGTGATAGCCGTTTGTTTGGACTCAAGACGATATTGAGTCATCAAACGATTGTGAATTCTATGTGCTTTCGGTATCGGTGTGTAACCATTTTTTCACCTGTGCCGTTTTCCGCCCGTGTAGGTTCGTCGATTGGGACCAGGAATCTATGATACAGCATCCGCGTTGAACATAAGCAAAGTGGTCAAAAGCAAGGGCCGGTTTGACACCAGTTCAGAGATTCGTTGTGGACCAATCAAAACAGGCTACTTAGCAAATCTCGTAAGATAAATTACGGTCAGCTTACTATCTCGTGTATGCTAAGTTACATTCACCTGCATTTTAAAGAGTAAAGTATAGCTGATAAATAATCCCCATTCTTAGATAATCTTAATTGGTTAAAGCTTTGTTTGAAGTGATTACTCACTGCTTATTGATTTTAATATCTCAACTTGTGGTGTCTAAATGTAGAGATAAACTACATTGGTAGTGAACCAAACATAGTGCATGAAAAAGATAGCATGAGACCATGAATCGTATTAGCTGCATAAGTGTATTGTATTGATTATTTTTATTTCAGCAATTCTTTTCAAATATTTATTGAATTCTTCAAAATGTTAAGCTTTCAGAATTAACTGATACAAATATACAAATGAGAACTTACCAAACTTAACCACATGCATTTTACAAAATAAATAAAATAATTTAAAAATCTCTCAATTCCACTATGAGTGATCGAATGGATAATACCAATTAACTTTTTGAAAGTGGTCGATGTAATAGTGAACATAATTCACGGACTGTTCAAATAGAACAGCAGGTGCATTCAAAAATCTATCTGATTAACTGCAAATCATATTTTTAGAATCTCTGACTGCAAAGTGTGCTAAACAAACATCCATAAATAACTGTTACATATATAAAATCGGCTTGTTAATAAACAGGGTAAAAAACACAAGATAACAATAATAAGATGGGGGTTAGGGATATAGAAAACGGTGAAAAATGGCGAAACTGCTTAAATGAAAATAGCAAACAAATTGGATAATAAATTTTCGTGTTTCATCCCACAATTTTTATTATTTGTTTGTGATGTTTTTTTCCGGGCACGGAATTTCGACAGGTAGAAAGTAAATCATTCGCGCCACTGACTTCTATTCTGGGCCATATCTCTTAGTGTCTCTAACCAACGACAATCCTCATCCCTCGGGCTCCAACATGGAAGGCGACTTGTAATAACCGAAGCCAAAGCTGAGGTCAGCTACTTCATGCCTCTACGCCATGTAGGCTTGCGTTGAGGTTACGACTCTTTGCGTGTCGTATTTCATTACGTTCTCTACCGGTTTGGATTGATCGACCTGCGTCGAGAAGGCGTAGAGACTCCACAGAAATCCAGGGTGCCACAGCACGACGTGTCGGACCACAACTAACTAAGCCAGCAGAATGCAGAGCATTCTTGATAAGCGACAAGTGCTGGTTAACGTTATCGCGGGGGGTTGGTTCTTGCTTTTCAGCTGTCGCGCTCTAAAAGACAGTTAAGCGTGCTGGTTCAGACAACTTATCACGGTTTAACCATCGTTGTGTCGTGCGTTTGGTACGCCCACCAACGAACATGGACAGCTTGGCGTAAACTAATGCTTGGTCGGATTCGAAGGGGGACTGCCTTAGTAGGATCGGAAGTCTTGAATGCAGCCCCGCCATTTGTGGCTTATAACGATGTGGTCGATCTGCGTCCGTCCCTGACCGTAGGAGGGCGGACGTCAGGTGGCGTACCGGCAGATGGAACACCTAATGTTCGTACTGGAGAGGAATGTGCGGCAGTCGGAGCACAGAGCCAACAGCCGTTCCCCGTTTTCCGGGCGACAGGAATCCGAAAGGACCTCCCAGATGCGCCTCACTCGAAGTCAGCCGACGTACTCTAGCATTCATATCTCCTGTTAAAATCACGATATCAGCCAGACTCGCTTTACGCAAGAGGTCATGTATACTATGGTAAAATTCATTTTTGATTGCATCTGGGCTGCAGTCCGTTGGAGAGTACGCCGACACGACAAACAGGTTTCATTTTTCGGGGCAACGGATGCTTATTTTGCACGAACCTCTAAGTCACACTGCGCAAAACCTACTGTCGACTGGGAACCAGTTTGGGAGTGCGGCTTCATCTCTTTCACTGCGAACCACACCAACTGCAGCAAAACCGGAAGCTGCAGCCTCAGGGCTCCCAGGGGCGTGAATGAAACTTCCATGATCGGTTTCATGGGGACATCAATCGGATAATGGAGCTGGAGGCTTGAATGTGAGTCTCTTGGATCAAACAAACATCGATAGTTAGGGTTTCGAGCGTACTAACTAAACAGTTCTGTTGTCTTATACGCATCAGAATGCGCACATTAAATTTGGCTAGTTTGGATGGGTATCGCGGGCGAAGAAGGACTTTGGTTGGTGGTGGATTCGGGGGAGGGCTGGGGGACATTAGTGTGTGGAGATTGTTTATCGCTGGGAGCAGAAGTCGTACCCTGAAGACACCTGAGAATCGACCAGTTCATCATTGTTGGCGTTGGGGCTGTTGTACTACTCGGTCATCCGGTCCATAGTGGGCCTTTTTCGAGAGTACACTAGCTTTTACGCAACCAAGCACGGACTGCAAGGCAGCAATGATGTTCCAGATGAGTCGGTGGCCAGTATTTGGTTTATTCGCCCCTTCTGGAAAACCTTGCCGAACAATAGATTTCCACTAGGGGCTATGGTCATGTTTAGGGGAGGGCCACACTCGCCACATCACAGCACTGTCCACAGATATGTGTGGTGTTTTGGGTGGAATACTTTTGCCAAGAGGTAAACCCACCACATCCTCGAGCGCTGCCGCTGATCGTCAGCGACCGCTTATTCAGAGGGCCGAAGGGTTAGTCGTGAGTTGACGGACGTCCCCCTATCCGTGACCTGGGGATGCGCTCGGTAGCACACAGCTCTGCTCTCCTGAGATAAATAACTGTTAGCAATAAATATCCTATTTTTACTAATTCACAGGTTTGTGTTATTGTCTGGCGTGTGTTATGGTTTGGTGTGTGCTATCGTCTGATATCTTTCGAAAATTCACTGGCAGTCGACCAACTTCATCTCGCATAAAGGAACACCTTCGAGTTATAGGAATCATACCTATTTCATCATTCAGTATGCATTTTCGTACCAACACAAACTGATACGCCGCGATAAAATGGAAATGCTGCGATCCCAAGTTAAACGTATTTAAAATAAAATGAGCTCTAATATTGTCAAACGACGATAGATGTGTCCCAGTTTTATGAGGGGCTACTTTAGTGTAAGGCAGAGAGCTCTTTCGCGGAAAAAAATGTACGCCCCACTGACGAGTGTCGTAAGATTTGTACGCAACTCTTTGATTGCTCTTTTGTATCAATTTGAACTCTTTCATAACCATGCTATCAGGTCAAGTCAAGTCAAGTCAAGAAGCGGCTTTAATTCTCCCTATAGGGGATGAACATTCAGCTACTACACAATCACTCTTCTTTGGAAATTTCAGGGTAACAAAGCGTATGGTGATACGTTACGTATACAAAAAGCCAATTTAGCAAAGATTTTGTCTAAGAGTTCCAATGACAAGATCAGCGTTGGTAAGAAACCGTGCCAGGTACGGTATTATAGAAGACTTGTATGTAGTGGTGCGTGCTGCTATATGTTTATACATGGAACGAGTGCTAGATGTGGAGATACATTGACTAAGATGAGGGTACAGTGGGTGAGATGGGTCAAGTAGTATTCTGGTAGAAATTTTCTGGCAAGCCCTAAGGTGCTGTGA